AATATTTACCAAGGGTTACAGTATAAGGCTGTGTTCATAATTTGTTTCAGACAGATTCATCTCCTCTTAAGATTACATAATTTATTTATATATTAAGAGTAATTCAATTAAAATATATATTAATCCTAAAATGTCACTTCAATCATAAGGGCAAATGTGCTGCTTCGGATGTTGTCGATATAAATTTTCTTGAACAGTCTAGCTCTTTTTCCTGACTGAGCTTAGCTGCGATGTATTGAATTAGTTCCATTGTTTGTTTAAGGAACAATCATGGTGGGCATCTCAACTGCGTCGGGCGTAAAACTCAGAAAGGGAACTCAGTTTAACTAGTTTACATTCCTCAGACTGTCGGACGACAAAACTGGGTGAAATCGCTGATGCAATAAGATTTCTATTTGAGGAATAATCTTTGTAGGTAATGTGCCAAATAAATAAGGTTACCATCCACGAATGTGAAGTCGCTTATACCGTCAAAGCTCATACTGCTATCTCGCTTCAGGCCGTCTTGTGTATGACGATAAAATACATCCGGCAGCAAGCCTCTGACAGGGATACTGGAGAACCGTGGAACTACGTTTTAACTGCTGTTGTTTCCAGGTGCAGTCTTATCTGGTGGGTAGCACCCGTTAGGGTCCCAGCTATGGGCAAATAGTGAATCCCCGAACAAAAAGCAACAGTTCAGTTTTATAATACAATTACATCTACAAACTATATATCTAATAAACATACACTACAGTTCAAAAGATTCAAGTTCCCCGACCAGAATTAGCATGGGATGAACTTGACAGAAGAGTGAAAAAATCAAAAACAAAAAGATCCTTAGAATTATCGAAAAAAAAATGGAATCATTTATCAAAATTATATTTCGAGAAACTTTTGCAAGAATGTCAAAGATTTGTGCTGCAGTAATCAAGGCTAAAGGAGGATATTTTGACGGGAGGAAAATTTAATCATAAAATGCTTTTTTGTGTCTTTTTGTCGTAATAAAATTTATAATAAATATCTTGTAGCATTCTTTTAAAACTATGTATAAAAGATTACTCCTATTTAAAGTACGAAAAACTACGTTTTGGTTCAATTTAAGAAATTACCAGGGTTGGCCGCAAGCTTTTGAAACTGTAGTGTCTACTTTTACTTAGAGAGTATAACATATTGTAGAGAATATCTGTAGATGAAAACATGAAATTGCCTTTCAAAATATTTAAATTACAGCATTAAATAACCCATAGATATGTTGATATGCCGCTAAACAAAATAAATCAATGAATCGTTCCAGGACAACCGGAACTTCTTCAGAGGTGTGTATATCCTTTATAGTGAATATATCCTCAAACGTTCCAACCGTCCGACTAATTACTGGTGTAAATTTGCATGGATTACTTGCGACCAATTGGTCATTACTAATTCGGTGCCCAAAAAACAAACAAAAATAACATTTTTTTTTCTTTGAGGTCGTTAATGATGTCTTTGTATAAATAATGTATCGGCTCGAAAAAGTGAATTGATAGCGACAGTTAGACATGAAGATAACTGGAACTTTGAAAATAGAGTCTGGTTTCGATTAAAAGTTAAGAACCTTTAATTCAGCCTATAGGAATGAGTCGTTACTGAATCGTTGTGATAACATAAAAAACAAGGATGAGAATGCAAGTCCAAAAGAAAATAATTACCTTTCTAGTTTAATACAAGTAAAATACTGTATCGATTTAGTTACGTTGAGATTTTCCTAAAGAAATGGATATTTGCCAGTTAGTTAATTAAAGACAAATTGCTCAACCGAGTTCTGATTCCGGACTAGCCTACGGCGTTCATCGTTACACACATAGACATGGACAAAGCATGATATCATCACGTTTACCCCCAACTATGTAACAGGGTAGAGAGTGAATCGCTATAAAGAATTACTTTGAATACAAAGCCGTAGAGAAGGCAACAGGGAAATATTCTATTTCTTTCCAAAGATTCAATGGCAGTTCACAGGTACTAAATTCGTGGAAACTTTTAAGGGTCATGACCTACTACGTTCAGAGGTGGTTGTAAACGATTAAGTATTAATCAATAATAATAGTTTCAATTAATTAATTAATTAATAATAATAATAATAATAACATGCCCCACAACGGTCAGATTCTTAACGGAGAGCATGAAAAAGTGGAAGACTACACTCAATCAAAACCATAAAAACGACTCGTTAACACCAAGACGAATTAAAATCAAAAGCTGGATGTTCCAAGGAGATTCATTGTTACCACTACTTTTTCTGTCTTGCGTTAGCGCCACTCAGCTGCCTACTGAACAACAGCAGCTAAGGATAAAAGTCACAGAATGGCAAACTTCTTTATTGGTGATCTTAAGACGTTTGCATAGGATGACAATCAGCAGAAAAAAAAACGTGAAAACCTTCAGCGAAGTCATTAGGATGGAGTTCGGAAACGACAAATGTGCTAAAGCCACCTTCGAAGTCGGTAAACTAAGGAAAACTACGGATTTAAACCTTGATATCAACAACAAGATTAAGGAACTAGACCAAGATGGTACATATAAATACTTAGGAATTAATGAATGAGGTGGTTTACAACATTGAATTATGAAGACAGAGATCCGAAAAGAATATTATAGGAGAGTCCGTTTGACAGTAGAAGGCGAACTTTAATGGGGCCAATAAAATGAAGTCTATCAACAACTTAGCTATACCCGTAGTAACATACAGCTTCAATATTATTAAATGGAAGTTGAATGACATTAAAAGATTGGACGTTCAAGACCAGACAAAATGCTTACCAAAATCCCAATGACCCTCTCCTATGAATACTGAAACACCAAATCCACACCCTCAACAAAGAAGCTGTACTTTTTAAGAAACAACTTAATATACATGAAACCCCACCAAGAAAAACGAATCGAATACCATTACGAGAAACGAGTAAAAAAGAAAGCAAAACAATTTCGCCAGATGAAATTACAAAAAAAACACCAAAAAACTGAGAGGACAAGACGTTGCATGGGGAATTCATAAAAAGAACGAAAGAAGAAGATGTGAACCAACAGAAAACACATCATTGGCTGAGGAGAATTGGGCTGAAACTGAGACGGAAGGTTTAATTATTGCAGGTCAGGATCAAAGTCTTCTCAACCAGATCCAGTGTCACATTGATGAAACTAACCCGAAATGCAGGATCTGTGGAAAATATGATGAACCTGTTGACCATATTATATCAGGCTGTCCAGAACTGAAAAAAATGAATATATCCACAGACATAATAAGATATCGACATACGTGCTCTGGAAGATATGCAAGAAGCACAAAATCAAAACCACTGAGAGATGGAATGATCAACAAGCAGAAAGAGTTACTCAAAATAAAGATGTAACTACATGGAACAGGCAAATAAAACTGACATGGAAATAAAAGTCAACGGACCTGATATTATCATAAAAGGCAAGTAATTCAGGAAGTATTATTGACTTAGCAGTACCATCTGAGAGAAACACCTCCATAAAAATTATCGAGAATTTGTCCAAGAACAAGGACCTGGAGATCGAGATTAACAGGATATGGGGAATGAAGACTCAGGCTGTAGCTATATTAATCGAAGCTCATGGCCTGGTGAGGAAAGGAATAGACAATTGTATTAACAGTGTACCAAGTAACATCAAGATAAAAGTTGCACAGAAGATCGACCGACTAGGGACATCCCGTATACTAAGAAAAGCGCTATCACTTAAATGGCAATTCTTCTATAGGGCCTAAGAGCCATTGTTCGGACCCGACACTTCAGGATACAAAGCAGGAAACATAACATACACAAATGATAATAATAATAATAATAATAATAATAATGTGGCTTACGGTCACATCACTTTTAAATGCCGGTTCCTACGAGAAGTAAAGCAAAGTTAAGCGTGGCTCTTAGTACGTAGACGAGTGACTGCTTGGGAATAACAGATGCTAGAGGTTTGGATTTGCGTCGGGGGGATGTAATGGATAATGGCTCTGAATTGTTAATCAGAGAGATGATTTCCACTTCCACTTGGTTTCGTTATATTCACTTAAGCGTAAATAACCTTTGAAAATTTATGAATCCACCTCTTCTCCCCCCTCCCAGATATGGGTTAATTAATAAGACTTGTATAAGTAACCCATTATTATCTCAAAAAGTAAGATTCTTTCAAACTAAAAATACTTCCTGGCTGTAAGTAATCTGCAAATGTTTGATAAACCATAGAAATCGAATGAATCAATAATAATAATAATAATAATAATAATAATAATAACAATGAAAATATCCAATCTAGATCAGAGAACTGGATTTTTTTTTATTCATTAACATAGTAAAATTATTAACATATTGGTATCTTAGTAAACGTGTTAGTAAAAAGAAAACGTGACAGATACGAGTTCACTCTCCAGGCAAAACTCGGAGTACATACGAAAAAATAAAAAATGAAAAGACAAACAAAAAACTGGACCATGCCTGTGAGTTGAGAAGTTATGGAATATGAAGTTTACTGCCGTGCCAGTTGGTATAGGATGACTGGGAATGGTAATGAATAAACTAGGAAAATGCTGCAGTCCTAGTAATTGCAGCAAGCATAGATTCAATCATATTGTTGAAAAAGCTATGATACTAAAGAATTGTGAGGATACTTAATGTCATTTTTAACCACTAGATCATACTGGTGCGTGCACTCATACAGCGAGAATATAAAGAAAATCGTGTAAAAGAGGTGAAGTTAGATGCATCGATATTAAAATTACAATAAAGATACAGGATAAATCGATTAGCAGTGTTTCTGAGTCTTTGCTTTTCAAAATATTTAACTTTCAATTTTCAACGTGAGAAAATGAAAAAAAAAACTGTTCTAGTAAAAATGTCTTTATTTTTTTTTTTTAGCTTTATTTAGTTAGAGCAAAATATCTTAAAATAATAGAAAAAAGAAATCCAAAGATGAGAACAGACAAACAGACTGGAATTTTTATTTGGAAGCCTTTTACAAACTCTTATCAGCATCCATTCTTCCTGGGAAAGAGAGAGAGAGAGAGAGAGAGAGAGGGGGAGAGAGTGGGTGAGTGAGAGGGAGGAGATTGCCTGAAGGAAGCAAAGATTCAGCAAAAGAGATGAGGTCATTTTAAAGAAAATCAATCTGTTTGTATCGTTTTCATGTTTTCTTTCAACTTTTTATATGTTGCCATTCCTACTGCTTCGTAATTTCCTGCTTTACCTCGAAATATTCTTTGCGGCTTCTGTAGGTTAGGAGAAATCAGACCATAACGAAAACAGTGTCATTTGGAAGCAATGAGGTTAACAAGTTTATTTCGAGACGGCGATGAATGAGTTCGATCCTTATTAAGTACTTTGACATACCTGGGCATTGCCGATGTTGACCTTTTCCCACAAATATTAATAAACGACAATCGGAAATCTGATACGATTATATTTGTCTTCTTATTGAATCACTGGGAAACCAACATACGAATTACAAATTGGAGATAGAAAAATCAAGCAAGGGAAAAATGATAAAAGTAGTGATTTGACACATAGCTAAAATGAACGATGGTAAATTTCAGGTAGGCTAAAGAAATTTTATAATTATACTGGGTCGCCAGACCACATGGACTGCAACTTATGGGCCACAAAGTGGAAGTGAATATTATATAATATATATTACAGTGTAACCCGGATATAAGAAAGTTGTCGGGACCGGAGAAGAAGACTCTTATATCCGGGTTTCTCTTATATCCGGGTTTGGTCTGTTTTATATACATTAACACAGGCTCTAATTTGGGACCAGAGAAATCTCTCTTATATCCGGGTTTCTCTTATATCCGGGTCTCTTATATCCGGGTTACATTGTATATATAATTACATGGGCGAAAGAAAAATTCTAGGTTTAAAGTGGGCTATGAGCTAAAAAAGTTGGGAATCATTGTTTTTACATAGGGCAGAAAATGTAAGTTCATATAGAAGGCAAGAGGGACAGAAGAAAACAACACATAAATTACAAAGAGAAGCTGAGTATTTAGATGACAGGGTAAGGTTTAGGAGACAAAACAGACAAAATTTATTAAGAGCTATAAAAACGGAGATTGTAGAGAGCCATGATGGCCTACGTCCTGAGAATAATAATAATAATAATAAGAAGAAGAAGAAGAAGAAGAAGAAGAAGAAGGAGGAGGAGGGGGGAAGAAGAAAAAGGAGGAGGATGAGGAAGAGGAACAGAAGAAGAAGGAAGAGGAGGCGGGACAGAAGAAGAAGAAGAAGAAGAAGAAGGCTAGAAGCTGAAAGAGAGTTCCACATATGAGTAGCGCAAAAGAAAAAGAAACCCCATTAGAATAGAATTTACGGTAAAACTTTCTTCCTGGGTATGAAGTCCTCTCATGTGGAGATTGATTGCTTTGAGGAGCGTGGGACCACGTCTTAATTGCTATTGCTCTCAGGTCCACACTGACCCGGGATGGTAGCCCCTGCTAGAGTAACAACTAATCAAAAATTAACAGTACATTTTGATAGTAAACTTACTAACAATTCCTTTTATGATCTACAGCATATATATCTAAAAAACACTGATTGTAACAAATGATATAGAAAATATCTGTAGCTGAAAACATAAAAATGCATACAAAATTCTTAGATTTCTTCATTAAATAATTCATCAAAGTTTTTATGCCACTAAACAAAATCGACCGTCCGACCGGTAGGCGTAGCAATTTTAACAGTAAATACAGTTAACTCCCCGAAGTTAAGGTACCAAGATGCAAAGCTCATCAGAACAATTGTCATGATAATATTTATAGAAATAGCACAGAGAAGCTACGTTATCACATTTCTCGAGTGTGCAGGCATCAAGACGCAAATTACACTATTAAATAAATAAAAATTGGTCGTCTATTTCAAATACGAAGTGCTCACTATCATACCGTTTATCACTATCATATATATATATATATATATATATATATATATATATATATATATATATATATATATATATTCGACTCTCTCGTCGAATTCGACGTAAGAGGGTCAAGAAGATCGATTACGAGATACGAAACCGTCAGCCCGACAACAGCACAAGGTGCATAGTGGTGAAGGTTTCGTGCAGGACCATTCACACTTTTGAAGTGGGGATACAGAGACCTGGTGCACTACGTGCCACAAGATACGTTTTTATAGTTTTCCTTCCCTAGACCAGTTGCCATTCAAGGCTATAGAACCCAGTCTGTCCTGCTATTTACCTATAGCTGGATGGAGAAGATATATATATATATATATATATATATATATATATATATATATATATATATATATATATATATATATATATATATTGACCAAACGCGGTGGTTTGGATAACGGTTTGGTGTGAGGGATTCTGTCCGAATTTTGAATAAACAAAAACAAGTAACCAAATGTTACATTTAATTACAGATTCAATCAATAATGTATTTTCCCTGATTATCTATGACTTCCTTCCATCTATTAACAAGCTTACTAATTCCATTACTGTAAAATTCTTTTGGCTTTGATTCGAAGAACACACAAATGACAGTTTTAAAAAAGCTGTTTCTTCCAAATGATTCTGTAGCCTACAAAACAAATGGTAATCTGTAGGAGCAAGATCGGGAGAATAAGGTGGATGAGCAATTTTCTCCCAGCCAAGTTCTTCGATCTTTTGTGACATGATTTTTGGTGTGTGGGGTCGCGCATTGTCCTGATGAAACATCACCTCTTTTCGATTCACTAGAGCAGGTCTTTTTTCCTCAAAGCTTGGTTCAAACGCTCTAATTGCTGATAGTATATTTGAGCATTAATTGTAGCATTAGGTGGTATGAATTCAAAGTGGATTATTCCTTGGCGATCCCACCAGATTGAAAGAATAACATTTTGCCTATGAAGTTCTCTTCTCGGCTATGGCTTCGGTCCTTCCCCTTTACCAAGCCACTGTCTACGACGCTTAACATTTCAATAAAAGATCCATTTTTCGTCGTCAGTCACAAGTCTATCCAAAAAAGGTGAAACAAGTTGGCGAGAATGGAGAGAAGAGCAGATGTCAACTCGGGATTTGAGGTTGTTTTCAGACAATTCATGAGGCACCCATTTTCCAAATTTAGGAACTTTTCCAAGTTGTTGAAGATGACAATGAACAGTTGTATGGTTTGAACTGAGAACCACTGCCAATTCCTCAACTGATAAAGCAGTATTTTCTTCAAGGGCTGCTTCAAGAAGCTGTTCATCAAACTCAACTGGACGTCCGGTTCAAGCTTCATCTTCAAGAATGAAATCTCCTCCTCTGAATTTTGCAAACCATCTTCTGCAAGTTCTTTCATTCACACATTCCTCTCCATAAACTGAGTGAATGTTTCTAGCCGCTTCGGCTGCTGAGTTTCCATTCTTGAACTCATAAAGCATTATGTGCCTCAAATGATTCTAGGGATTTAATCAAACAAAGTTTAATTTTATTGTTCTATGAAATAAAATTTGATCAGTTTAAATGCATCTAAACATAAAAATAATGTTCAGCTCCATTAGACATTATAAAATACTCTTTATATTTTGTTCATTTTAAAAAAAAATGGTAAAATTCGGATATAATTTATGGGATGACCTGATATATCACCTTTTCTGCCTGTCTATTCAGAACGTCGATGATCATAGTTATCCACAGCTTCTATTCTTTCTTTCTTTCAGTCATTCGAGCACCTTTTCCTCCACAAGCAGCTGCTTTGTGATAACAAACTTCCAACAAAATGCTCCTCAGATTACCGCATTCTTAACCTTATCATGTCGAGGTTTGACCGTTATCTTCAACACATATGCCCATAAACTGTCTCATACGGTATGCCTCTATCTCGAGTGGCTCTTTGGCATTGTATAGGGGGAAATCAGTGTAAAAATAAAAAGCAAAACAGTCAGTTATTTATAACCGTTCTTTTTCTTTTGGCAAGCATTTCTGCTGACCAAATATATAGTCGAATTATATCTTACATATCAAGTCTTTTATCTAATATGCAGAAATAGTATTTTGTGTGTGTCATATGGACAATTTTAAAACTATTTAAATGTATAAATACATAATAATAAGTCTTAAAAAGATAAACGGCAACAAAACACAGAAAACTACAGTCTACTGAGGGGAGGATTCCGAAGGTCCCTCTGTCTGTGTAACTGGCAACCGGCAAGAGTGCACGATGGCGATCTCAGTTTCGCTTTAAGAACGTTTGCAAAAGTTATATGAGGGTGATGGTCATTGACATCCGGGAGGTGGGACATCATCGCCAGAGATTGCACACGCTAGATACACAATTTATACGTTGAAATGGAGTGAGGAGAGAAGAAACAGAGAAAGCGTGCTTGAAGGAACGTAAACAGCACGCCGACACCGGAGGAGAGCATCTTCACATGCATTCATTTCAATAGATACAGTCACTTCTGTGTTGGCCTGCACAGTCATAACAGATGCTGCGCCGCCATCAGAAGATGAGGCACAACTTTTTGGGCGCTGATCCATAGCAATGTTAATGTGATTAATGGCGAAATCACTTCGATAACAAAACTTACAGAGACATCAAATTACTATCGTACTCTTCAAAACATATCTATAACTGTCGATAATAGCATAATTACAAAAATATCTTTCGGTCTACACATATTTCGTCTTAGTGTTTGCGGACGTATGGACAATATTGCGCCCTGAAGATGACAATTTGAAATTATTGAAAGTACTCGGCATATGTCTTTCATCTGATTTCTACTCAAATATAAGGATATTATTATTCAAAGAATTGATAGTAAGTTAATGTCTCATTAAGTCTTGTTAGCGAAGTGATTTTGACATTAATCACATTAACATTGCTATTTAATTCTTTGGATAAATTGTTTTTTATGACACACACACAGAAACACACACAGAGACACACACATATATATATATATATATATATATATATATATATATATATATATATATATATATATATAATCTCTTTTTGAATTTCAGGGATGAGAATATATCATTATTTATACTATTTCTATTTGAACAATCTGTGTTGTCATCTCAAGTTTACGGCCTTTGTGCCCTACGGCCTTCTTCGAGTGTATATCTATCTGGGTAGCCAGATTCGGCAATTAAAACATTTATGCAAACTTTATGCAAACTATAGGTTCGACTGTTCTCCGTCCACTGATCATGTCTAGGGATATCTTCTAGTTCGTATTTTATTTAGTACTAAATATCCCCAGACAAAAACAAGTTCAACAAGAAGAATCTAATCGTAGATTACATAAAGGGTACATCGATATACATCTAAGGAAGACCAAAAGGATAGATCGATATACATCTAAGGAAGACCAAAAGACACAACGGCTGAAATGTTGAGATAACAGCAACCATGTTGACGAAAATAGTCCAAATATAAATAGTGTACATAATAATATAAATATACTATAATTATAGATTAATAAAATTTAAATAATTTTATGACAATATGCAAATTTCTTCTACTTATGTGAGTGCAATTGTATGCAAATATTACGAAAGGCCATGACATTAAATTGGTCTCTTTTAGGAAACAAAATATGTTTAATATCTTGACTATTTTAACGACTATACAGAGAGATAAAGTTTTATATTCCGTTTCAATGTCAATTATTAAAAATTAAATGGCGTATTTTATTTTTTAAATTTCAATCTGGTCTTTTGTGATAATATTGTATTAGCCATTGTTTTTGTTCACGACTTTTGTAATTAAAATATTTAATTTAACGACCTTGAGATTAAGGACAGGATTAAAAGAAAGTAACTAATGTATAAAGCAAAGTATGAAATATATTTAAGAGCATATTTTGAAAATATAATACATGGAAATCTTCATTTCTGAAATGTTTACTTTGTTAAAGTTTTCTTCAATATGAAAGGAAAAATTCCTGAAAAGATTCCGCCTCGCTTAATTATAATGTTATCGGGTTTCATATCACGTCTTCACGCAAAATATCAAATAAACAGCCACTGAAATATTCAAAATAATCACACTGCTTTAATTAAACAAGTTTACTAAAACCATTTTACGCTAAATTTCCATATATCTTATAATCAGGAGAATGTGAAGTTGATGTAATGAATCGCAGCTTGGAATAAAAAAGGCTAGAACCTGATTTCGAATCCTTTCGGTTTTGTTATATTCATTTCGCGCAAATACCATTGGGGTAATTATGAAACTAAACCCCCTCCAGTTATGGGTTATAGAGTAGGACTTTTATTTGGAAAAAATCATTTTAATTTTCAGAAAATTCCAAATGCAATATTCACTACCCCAAAATAGAATTATGCTCATAATCTAAAAATTTCGGTTTTAAATAACCCAAAATGGGTTGATAAACCGTAACAAAAAACAAATAAGAGCTTTTAGCGCTTTTGACCATTACCAACAAACAAACATAAAATAAGATATATATATATATATATATATATATATATATATATATATATATATATATATATATCAGGTCATCCCATAAGTTTTGTCCGAATTTTAACTTTTTATTAAAATGAACGAAATTTAAAGAGTATTTTATAATATAAATGGAGCTGAAATTTTTTTGTGCTTAGATGGAAAAGTTATCAATTTTTTTTTCAGAAAAAAGTAAAATTAAATTTTTCTTGATTAAATCCCTGCTAACATGGGAGTACCCAAGAACCATTTGAGGCATATAATGCTTTATGAGTTCAAGAAAGGAAACTCAGCAGCCGAAGCGACTAGAAACATTCACTCAGTTTATGTAGAGGAATGTGTGAATGAAAGAACTTGCAGAAGATGGTTTGCAAAATTCAGAGGAGGAGATTTCACTCTTGAAGATGAAGATTGAACCGGACGTCCAGTTGAGTTTGATGAACAGCTTTTTGCAGCAGCCCTTGAAGAAAATCTTGCTTTATCAGTTGAGGAATTGGCAGTGGTTCTCAGTTCAAACCATACAACTGTTCATCGTCATCTTCAACAACTTAGAAAAGTTCCTAAACTTGGAAAATGGGTGCCTCATGAATTGTCTGGAATCAACCTCAAATCCTGAGTTGACATCTGCTCTTCTCCCATTCTCGCCAACTTGTTTCACCTTTTTTGGATAGACTTGTTACTGACGACGAAAAATGAATCTTTTATTGAAATGTTAAGCGTCGTAGACAGTGGCTTGGTAAAGGGGAAGGACCGAAGCCATAGCCGAGAAGAGAATTTCATAGGCAAAATGTTATTCTTTCAATCTGGTGGGATCGCCAAGAATAATCCACTTTGAATTCTTACCACCCTAATGCTACAATTAATGCTCAAATATACTATCAGCAATTAGAGCGTTTGAACCAAGCTTTGAGGAAAAAAGACCTGCTCTAGTGAATCAAAAAGAGGTGATGTTTCATCAGGACAATGCGCGACCTCACACACCAAAAATCATGTCACAAAAGATCGAAGAACTTGGTTGCGAGAAAATTCTTCATCCACCTTATTCTCCCGATCTTGCTCCTTCAGACTACCATTTGTTTTGTAGCTTACAGAATCATTTGGAAGAAACAGCTTTTGTAACACAGGAAGAAGTTAAAATTGACATTTGTGAGTTCTTCGAATCAAAGCCAAATTAATTTTTTCCATTAGTAGAATTAGTAAGCTTGTTAATAGATGGAAGGAAGTCATAGATAATCAGGGAAAATACATTGATGATTGAATCTGTAATTAAATGTAACGTTTGGTCACTTGTTTTTGTTTATTCAAAATTCGGACATAAGGGATGACCTGATATTTGGTGCAAGAAAGCCGAGTTGAACAACGGATTTAAATGCAGAATACACACTGGGGAATAGCAGGATTAGAATCTTGAGAGACGGACAAATTAGTGACCACGCTATAAACATTTTTTGACAAATGTTTTCTGGATTAGATTTACACAGAGTAAACGACTTCAAATATAAAACTCACTAATCAAGTCAGCATCAAATAACAGGATCAAATACATATTTCTAAAAAGCGAACAAATAACAGCATATAACTTTTGAAGGTAGTAGAAGTCAAACGAAATACGCTCATTTATATATAAGCTTAATAAAATCTAAAGATGATAACGTTTCATGTCTGTACGTCATAGGACTAAGGGACATTAATCCGGCTCTAAATAAAGCCTAATTCTGATAAGAAGTAGCGGAAAACCTGTTTTACCTTTTCCAAAGAGTGGTATCAAAAGATGAAAATGCTAATGGAGAAACCATGATTGTTTGATGTTAATTGCAAAAGATTTTTCTTCAAGATCTTTCTAATGCCTTCCAGGTTAGAAGACGTCACTAGACAAAAATGACACGGAAACAAATTATTCGATAAATGACACCAAATATTTTTACAATCTCAACTGAAATTTCGTAACAAGTGATAATGGCTTTTCCGTGGTTGATGCAAAATTTGCCAGTGTCTCCTTTACACACTCTATGATAACCATATAAGAGCATTTGACTTTTTCTCAGACCGTTTAGTGGCAGTTTTACTCCTCACCGGAAGTGGCTACAAAGCCAAAACGTAATAACTTATATTCTTTTCCCCAATTCGCTTTGCCCCTTTTCCGGTTTTCTCTATCGTTTTGACTCTTTTCATTTTTCTTATTTATTTTTCTTCTTATTTTTTAACTATATGAAATACAACACTCTGCTCTATAAACTCTATAAACAAAATCACTATATAGCACAATAAATTTACTACTACTTCGTTAAGATATAGGTGATCATGGCTGTCCACAAATTCCTGTCACTTGTAGCTCTAAATACATTTTGATTCATTACCACGCTTTTTGTCCTATTGAAGTCATGCAAAGGGCGATTGTGTCCCTTTGGTGGAGATAAGTCACGTGGGTCAATTGATGGCCGCATAGTGAAGTCACTTAATACAGTGGGGAAATTGGAAAGTCATTCTCTAGTTTAGAGGATTTTTATTTTGTTTTAGCCCATAGCAACCTTGGCCTGAGGTGAGGCTGAATCTTCTTCCCCAGCAGCTTACAAGTCCATGGTGCCATTTTCCTTTGGAAGAATATGTAGAAAGAAACTCCGACTCGCATTTCTCAAATTACGAAAATCCAAGACTCACCATTATCCATTCGTGGAATATGTCCTCACCTGGGATATACTAGTTGAATACAGATCGTTTGAATCTGAAATCCTAAATATGGCTTCTCTAGAAACACAGAAGAATTTCGATATTATATGTAACACCAATCTTTTCGTTTTCCTTATATATATATATATATATATATATATATATATATATATATATATATATATATATATATATATACAGACATGACAGAATTGAATAGACGCTCACAGAAACCGTTTATTTTATTAAACAAGTAATTTATACAAATGAAGTAATTATAAATGGTCATAAGTTTAATAACTAATACTTGGTTGACATCCATTTTGCTTTTTTTAATGCAAGGACACTTCTAGGCATGCTAGCGATGAGTTCACGAATATCATCTTGAGGGATTTCTTGCCATGTTTGAGGCAATAATCCTAAAAATTTGGCCTTAGAAGATGGCTTCCTGTTTTATTTTTGCCGAGTTTTCGATCTAATATGCCCCAAAGGTGTTCAATAGGGTTAATATTCGGGGACTGACTTGGCCATGGAAGTTTATTGATCCCATTTTGTCTCAACCAATGTTGCGTTGCTTCAGCAGTGTGATATGGATCTCCATCTTCTATAAATAGGGAGTCAACTTTGCTCATTCTACTACTTAAGAATATTGGAAGGAGCCCTTTCTTTAATATAGAAACATATTTGGTTGAATTAATCTTTCCTTCACACTCCACAATCTCTGAGCGACCATCACTCCAAATTGCACCCCATACCATTACTGAAAGCCCCCTCCCCCATGTTTCACCGTTGTTTGCAGTCTTTTTGAATCAAACTCTTTACTACAGCGTCTCCATACCCATACTCTTCCACTGTCGGAAAATAATGCGAATCTTGACTCATCAGAGAAAATGACTGTGGTCCAAAAGGTCATAGGTCTCTCCACCATCTCATGAGCCCAATCCTTTCTGCGTTTGATATTGGCTGGACGGAGAAGTGGTTCCCTTCTCGCAGCCCTTCCATAGTAGCCTAGCTTGTGAAGATACCTTACAGCTGTTCTGCGTTTGGCATCAACTTGTGTTGCTATGTCAGAGGCCTTGCAACGTGGATCCTGTTCAACATTTCTTTCGACAAGATGCATGGTTCTTCAGAGGGCCCAGGGCGGCCTGGATGAGGCTTTGCGCACTTCTTGCCCTCTCTGGTGAATTGTACGATCACTCTATTAACAGTAGAAAGGGGTATTGAAAGATTTTCAGATATTTTTCTTTGACTAAGACCACTTTCATGTTGGCCCACGATACGTCCTCGCTGACATTCAGATAGGTCTGATGCACCTTTGGTTCTTGGCCTGTTCTAGTATTGTTATCTGCAATTTTAATCAAATCATAAGTTAATTTATCTTGGTTATTAAAAGAAATCAGAAATAAAATTTATCTTGGTGTCTATTCAATTCTGTCATGCCTATATATATATATATATATATATATATATATATATGCGCTGTAGATTTGCATTGAGCACTGTTTTGTAAAATAAAAATATTAATAAGAACACCCTATTATATATCTTACTTTATTTCTGTTTATTATAATATATATATATATATATATATATATATATATATATATATATATATATATATATATATATGTATGTATGTATGTATGTATGTATAAGAATGAAAGCACACTAACACAGTTTCGACCTCTATGGTCTTCTCAGGTGGTTTGTTCAGCAAATCAACTACACGTAGCTCAACATCTTGTCGGGAGGGGAATTCCTATCTTTAACCGGGTTTAAATAACCCCAAGCTGAAATTAAGATTTTTGCATTTGGTCATGATCTCTGGCTTCCCCTTCAGCAATTCATTGCTAAT